CATAACTCCCAAATCCCACAACTTTATGTTCTAATTAGCATAGACACTAATAAAAAAGAACTGGAGGGGCAAGCCCCCAAAACTTTGTATAGCCTTCTAAAATAAAAAAAAACAAATGTCATATACATATATTCCATATTATAAGTGCTAATAAAAACTAGATTTTAGCTCCTCATATCTCAAACATCGTTTGTGACTATACTTCTATGGTTTAGTTGATAAAGTTTTCCATATTCCAACTGTTACTTTTTCAGTACTATTGATCAGAAGATTACGATCGTTGTATTATTTGCATTAATATGGTTTTTGATGTCATTAACTCATAACATGTTAATTTTATTAGGTTTAGCTCACAATGATTGGAAGATAAACACAATATTACTTAGTTGTGCACTTAAACCATTTCTTCGATAACATAAGTTGAAATTGGCTCAGTGTCGGCCTAGCACACCAAAGACTTGTGAAACCGTTTCTTTAAAGGGCTCCGTAAAGAAAAAGTGGCATACGAATTACGCATGGTTTGATATTTCCACGAATACTTTATTTGGACTCCACTCCGCAGAAAAACCAGACAAGACAAATGAATAAAAGATTTATACAATCCAGAAAAAAAATGGAGTGACCTTAGCCTGACAATGCATTGGGTTTAAATTTTTTACTATTTCTAGTAATTCAGGTATTATCATTGAGGTATTGATTACCTCCTATGAATTCTTTGTGGACTAGAAAAATACAGCAGGCATCCAGGAAAATTGATCGTTAGACTTAGGACTTTATATGACATAATAAAGAGACGCTTGGCTTCACTGTCAAGATTGACTGCTTATGTTGATACTCCCTGGGAAAATGATTCTAAACATGACCAAAAGAGTTTTGTCACTCAATTTTCTACTGGTAATTTCTTTGGCACTCACCCACGTTTCATTCAGATAATAAATTGGGATTCTCTGTATTTATGTATGGTTCTCAAATATTTTTTCCATCAATGAATAACGCGCTAACATACTTAAAATCCATTGTTATTATTAGATATAACATTGAATAAGAAAAACTTTGAAGATTTTTTTGTCTTCATTAATGATCGTTAGAACTTAACTCAATTTTGGTAATTCATCATTAAACCAAAAGTGGTGGATTTTCTTCCGGTTGGCATATTAATCAAATTTATAAGATGTATAAACTTTTGTATTAATATTTTTAAAACATTTTGTCATTTTAAGTGGTTAAGATTTGCGCTCATGGTATTGGGCAGTGGTATTTGAAATTGTCTTGGCTAATTTCCAATTCCTTCCAGAGAATTTTACGTATCTCTAAATGCTCTACTATAAATTTACGTTTGTATGTATTCATTATAACCTCACATTGTCTAGAAGAAACAAACTGAAAACAAATAAATATGTCTACAAAAATGAATAGTCATAGATTTTTAAAATGTTAGATATTCGATTTTAAGCAAAGCGATAGATGTATTACAAACCTTTCTAACTCAATAATTCAGAAAAATTGCTCTAAAAACTAGGATATTTTCAAAGTATCGAAATTGAAAAAAATATTGATTTTGAGTTATTATATTCTTCTATAAATGTTTTATTTCTCGTTTTCCAGATTTAATTTCCATACCTAATTTTTGTTTTCTAGGTGTATTTTCCGATAACTATTCAGATGTTTGATTTGAAGAATTATAGTTGTGATTGAGCTACAAAATTCATTTGAAACACTAGAAACTAGAAGCATCCATGGATCCACTTCTTAATCCTTCTGTGCCCGGAATCGACTTATTACAGCTACTCTGATCTTTTGAACTATTGTCAAAAACCTGTGTATAAAATATCAATATGGGTTTTTGAGTGTAATTTGACGAATTTTGTTGTTTGAAATATTATTTCATCTAAAAATAATGATCAAAGTTTAATTATTAAACCAATAATTAGTTTATTAATATCAAAATTAGTTTTTTAAATTATTTAAACTATTTAAATTATTTTTAAACATATTTTAATAATTGTATTATTCACTTACCATTAAATATTGATGGAATAGCATTGAAAATTAGCCAGTTTTTTTGTTGTAGGGCTCAAAAATATTGAATCTACAAAGTGTTTGCCGCATAATTTACAAATATTTTCTTTTTTTTTTTACAGTACTTCGGTCAAATTTTGTGTAAATTAATTTTTTATCCATAATGTTAAACGAACGTATTTTGGATATTGGAAAAAACCTATATTTGCAGAATTTGCTTTACTTTTGCAAAATTAAACAGTGTAGTAACGCATATTAGCGAATTTTTATTTTGCTCATTTTTATTTTTATTTTTATACCATAACACTAAATTGTATATAACAAAAAAAAAATGTATGAAACTTACACATTTGATCAGTGGTCAACTAATAAGTCACGTGGAAATCACACAAATAGCAACTAGAGGTCAAGAATCCAAGAAACCCTATAACACCTAAGGGATGTAAAAGGTCAAAACCATGGAGATTAGTGTTGGTGCATAAGGTGACCACAATAATAGTGGACAAACCTTGTTATTATAAGGAATAAATAATTATGTAAACTGTATGATGTATAATAAAAATTAATTAATTAAGAATAAGAATAATAAAAATAGACTGCCTGGTTGGCTATGTAATTCAACAATAATAATTACAAATTAATATATACATAATKGTAAAAACGTTGACTCAGAAGTCCAATAAAAGAAACAATACAATAAATATATAAAATTAAGTAGTAATGCTAATAGAACAAAAACAATAATATAATAATAATTTAAATACTTTATGCCTCAAACGACCCTAGTAATAAATATAATGATGCCTCAGATGGCCCTTGTAATAAATATGATAATACTGAGGTAACTAACCTATTTCTATTGAGCTGCAGCTCACAAATTACAAAAATAAAATACACTAACGTGGCCACATAGAACAAATGGTACCGACCAGCTAGCCATACAACAATCCACGTGCAAATCAACAATGCTGGATCAACAGGCATTAGGTGCCAAAGTTAGGTTAGGTCCTATTGCTGGTAAAACGACAACCCTAGACTAACAATGACAAGTTTTAATACGAGTATAATTATATTATATAATTATATATTAAAATTAGAGTTGTCGAACGATAATCATCAAACAATAGAAACAAGAATACCAGAGTTGATCACAGCAAAAAAAAACTTATATAAAAATAAACACTGAACAAGAGGTTTGCAAGCAGTCGGGTATTACAGCTAAAACTTTAAGAAAACCCTTGTCCGAACCGACGGACGAAAAAAGAGCAAGTTGCAAGTATTTTAAAAGAGACATAACGAATATGGCCAATAGTTAATGTAATCACCATCGCCGTGGTTGATAACGGACAAGCGCTGTCAACACCAATACAATACGACGGCAATAGGCACTTAAAAATTATTGGCACCACTATATAAACATAAAAACAAAACTAATAAATACACAAAAACAATTAGAGTAAGGAGACCAAACTCTGTATGCAAAATAATATGGCCCAATAAAAGTCACATGGTTATTTTGCCGCCAGGCGCGCGTCATTCGCTAAGTTTTACTACATATTATATAACCTAACCTATGTACCTACTTACTCATAACCTGAAAATTGCATTCAAATTTAGACATCGTAAAATACCCGATTTATAAACTCAGGTAATGTCCTTAATTTTAAGTTTGAGAGGACGCCACACCCTCTGTGTTGTCTCCATCTTACAAGTGTGTAACATCACATAAGACATAAACTGTTTCGTGCGGGAAATAACCAAGAAAGCTACAGTTATAACTAAGAAACAACATTTTCACCATATAAAAAGAAAAATGTTGTCTAATAAAATGCAATATCGTTTTCTTTTTTTCGATATCACTTATACAAAAAAAATTCTTATTGTTTCATAATACATTATTTTTGTGTTTTTTAACTTACTCTTATAGATACCAAAGCTAAAATATTATTATTCATAGATATTTAGTAAACATTCTTAGAATAACACACAATTGTATGATTGTTGTACGACCATTCTCGTTAGATTGAATATGAAAAATGTAACTCATATGTTTGTAAATTAATCATTGATGGTCGTAAAATACGACGAAAATAATAACTTGATTACAACAAAACCCAATTTAAATGAAATATTCAGTTATTTAAAATACCAGACTTTTTCTAAGTACCAATAAGAACTAATAATAACCAGAAAACTTATTGTTTATAAAAATGGTGTCCCGGCTCTAATTCCGGTTTTAAGCATTGTAAAATATGGGTTCCAACTAGGATTCCGGTTTTTGGATTTTCTTCAAGAACCTGGTTCTTTCAGTTCTAGTTCTAGTCCCTGAATTTAATTATCATTTAAATTATTTTAAATAATAAAAACAAAATAATAAAAAAATTATTGAAAACTTTATAATTGTATACATTATCTATTTTTAAATTTAATATTTTTATGAATAATAAATAACCATGTATGAATTAACCATGTTCATGTATTTAATAGCTAATTAGTTATTATTATCAAAATGTATATTTTGTTTTTACTATTGAAACCAGTTTTAACTTAGAGCCCCCTACTCCTATATATATGTTTTATTGTTTTAGATCTGATCCAGATCAAATGACACTCTTGGTGGCAGTAAACCGTGTACTATTTGTTGGCACACTCTATAAATGAGCATTAAGCAGCTATAGGAGTTATTTAGTCATAGGTTAGACAGGGTAGTAGGTATGAATTTCAATGTTGGAGCCAGGTAGGAATCAATCATAGACATTGTTATAAACGCAGGTGCCTACGATATTAGTAGACTTGCTTGTTTCCTAATTTTAAATAAAATATGTAGTAAGTTAATAAGAGGACTGTATTTTAATTAGGCTTCAATAAAAACAAATAGAAAATAATACTATAATAACAATTAATATGTTCACAATATCACACTTGATACAATAAATAATAATAAATACATGCTCAGAATTGGTATAGCAATAACAATACAAAATTGGTATATAAATTGCCAATTTGGTTAAATTTTCACATAATAATAGTACCAATTACAAAACGTTGCAAGATCTCTGCTACAAATAATATAAACATTATAAACTAATTAAATAATAAATCTAATATATATTAGTAAATAATAGTGGTACACCACCTACCTAGGTATGGTTATGGGTTGAGCAATGCCGTGATCCATAGTTAAACAATTATAAAATATAAGAAAAAACAGGTATGATTCGCACATTTGCTTCAAAACCGCTAACCACACAACGACTGAGATCAAAAACCAAATAATACTAATGCTGATTGAATGCTGTACTCTCAATAACCATGAGCCAACAGTTAAAGGATATATCCTAATTAGGAAAAATAATATAAATACCAATACGGCAATACATAATATGAAAGTATAATGGAACAATATTACCAGATGATATTGCAGTGGACACGAACAGTAAATAATAATAATGAACAAAAGGAGGCTTGCCCAGACTCGGCTGCAACAAAACGCTAACAAAAAAACTTCAACAAACGTACAAGAAAAGAACCATATGTGATTTTTCCAGAGTCGGCTGCGACGGAGTACAAAAAAAACAACTTCAAAAGTTTGAAGATATATGTGATGACTGTAAAGTTGCAAGAAAACAGAACAAGTTATAAAAAATTAACCGACAAATAGGAACGTAGGCCGACTTCAAACTTTCGCCAGTGCCCAGTGAAAGTGGTCAGTCGTGGACTCGACGTGGTTACCGCACAGCTTGCTGCAGCAGCAGGCTGTAGTTGCTGCTAAGTCCACTGCCACCAACATAATAATAAAATAAATATCAGAATAATAATAATATGATAGTGTTCGAGCGCGAACATTGAGAAATAATAAATATGTCTAAGCAATCATTTTTTAGTAATGAACCAAACGAAGTGTTAGCCGTTAGGTCCGAACTATAGACTATAGTCATTAGTCACACTGATTTCGCCACGTTGATAATATTCATAGTTATTAGTTTTATTTTTACATCCCAAGTGATCCATTTGTTTTCATGTTATAGTCTGTGTTAAAACCACGATTAAAGATATAATGGTTGCCTGACGGGCTATGGTGTAAGCGATATCAGATGGCAATTGAAATCACTTTCAGAATCAGCTGCTTAAGCTTAATCAACTTAGTGCGCTCTTTATTACGAGTTTTCGATATCGAAAGCAATATAATATCATTAATATCATAGCAAATTGTACGCTCAGCAGATCACCCGAGATCACGTTTAGCTCCGTTAGTTTAACATTTAGAGTTATTTGACCTCTCATAAAAAATAAAGGTAACATTATTATGGAGGGCTTCTCATAGGCTTTTCGTAATATTTTAATTTTAAAGCGAGTTATGAGTATTTTAAGATATACAAACAATTTACAATTTTAAAATACACATAACTCGTTTTAAAATTAAAAATAAAAAGCCTAAGAGAAGCCCTCCATAATATTGTTACCTTTAATTATTATGWGAGGTCAACTAACTCTAAATGTTAAACTAACGGAGCTAAACGGCCTAAACGTGATCTGCTAAGCGTGAATTTGCTATGTTACACACTTGTAAGACGGAGACAACACATGCGCGTGTAGCGTCCTCTTAATCTGTTATGACTAAATGGTCTAAATGCCGGGATCACATCTAAAATATGATACTAATATTGTCTAAAAAATCTTTAAATATTCTTGTTATATTCAAATATGTTAATATGTAAATATGCAAAAAATCGATAAACATCAATATATTATGCTTAAATATGCATTTTTAAACAATTTTTTTTTCAACTTTCATGTAATCGTGAAGTAACTATATGTACTTGCTGTACGCCTGTACACTTTTAAAACAATGTCATTTTTTTTAATGGTTCTATTCATTGTTTTAATAGGTTCTTAAAATTGACTGATTTTTTAATTTGTTCGTTTTAAAAATAAATTACCAATCTACACATACGAATAACGAATATATAATTTCAATAGTTAAAATGTGTAAAAGAAAATTTGAATATTTGATTTACGTTCGGGTCAAGGGCAGTGGTAGTGGTCCGAAAACTGCCCGATGTCCATAAATTAAAAATCACTTTTTGAACGCAATTTTTTTTGTCTTCGTGGATGGAACACTGGAAATATTTAAATGCATATTTTGATAACCCTTATCAGTTTAAACTTCATAGTAAGTATTTATCATTATATCCGATTCCGGTATTTCAATTTGTAGATTGTAATTTGTGTTCTCGTAATTTGTTCCTCGTCAGTTTTCAAGGGTCCTAGATTGGTAGTCGGCAAGATTTGAAAATATTTTTTTAGTTCCACACTTTCACATCCAACGTGTTAATAACCACTGCCCAAATAAAATGGTAAGGATTTTTCATTTATATTTTATCATTATTTATAATTTATACATGTCACATGATATAATATTATATCCTTAGTTTAAATTATGTTCATTATATTTTGTTACAGTTACCTCTTTCATTATTAAAAACTGCTCAAAATCACCCAATGGTAAGCACTTATATACATATTACATGTAATGTTTTGATTTCTGGCCCTAATATTTAGTAAATAATTATTTAAGATTTAGTTATGACTTATTGAGATTAATTTATAGAATAAAACCTTTACAACTAAAAACAATTTCAAGTTATGTTGAATTTCAAGTACCAATATTCCTAAAGGTTTAAAATATTGTTTTTTTTTTTTATTTGTCAACCTTATAATTTATCTTAAAATTAATAATTGAAATATTTATTGTTTAATATGATTTTAAAGTTAGTTGTATTTTTGATTGGTAAATAATTTTTTCTAAATTTCTTAATTGCTTGTACACCTAACACACATAATATAAATAGTTAAACAGTTATTGTATCTGTTTGAATATGAACTGTTTTTTATATGTTTCAACATGAGTATTTGCTTATAGCTGGTKGAATTAAAAAATGGTGAAACTTACAATGGACATTTAGTGACATGTGATAGTTGGATGAATATCAATTTACGAGAAGTGATCTGCACATCTAAAGTATGTATTGTTCTGAAAAATAATATTGTAATACTATTTAAACTTGATACATTCAGATGATATACATCAAAATCATAGTTATATATGGTGTTTCCTCCCCTGAATATTGATACTTGTTACGTTTTGGCAATGTAGGTAATGAGAAAAAATTTAACAATGTAATATCTACCATTTGAAACTTGTCCACATTATATTAAACCATACAAAATTACTAGCAACTTTTTATTAATTTGGATAATAGTTGTTTTTTACTTTTTCATTTATTAATTTAGGCACTGTGGCTTGGTGAGGCGCGGTCGTACGCTCAATCTGCGGAAACGCACTGAGCGTACGTACCGGCCGCAGTTGCTAGCTTTTTAGCAACATATCCTTGCCACACATACACAAACACGTGTTACAACCCTACCCAATTAAAAACCTACAAACAAATATACAAAAATAATCCCTACCGTACCACCCCACACCCAATGGCCTATGTTGCCGCGGGTTCTCCTTGCAAAAAAAAAAAATTTAGGCACTAGTCAAAATTTTTGTATTTTTGTTCATCAAATTATTTTGCCTTAAGAGAATGTAAATTGTACTGTCTTCATTTTACTAACCCACAATTTATCATAATATACGTCCAACAGTWCCAGCTGTGTTGTTAGCTTAAATATTAAAGTAAATTAATCCATAGAACTAAGATATAAATTGCTTATTACAATATTTAACTATAAGGTATATTTTTAAATTTTACTTTAGGATGGAGATAGATTTTGGAGACTTCCAGAATGTTATATCAGGGGTAGTATGATTAAATACTTGAGAATACCAGATGAAATTTTTGATATGGTGAAAGAAGATATAGTTGTAAATAAAGCTCGTGGTCGAACAGATAACCAGAAAAATCGTGCTCCTAGAGGAGCTAGACAAGGTAAAATCCATTCATATTTTTTATATTCTTTAGATTAAAATTCAATATTAAATATTTTTGTTTGAAAACATATTGTTTTAATTTATAACCATTCTTACTTATTATATTTGTTATAATATAATACACTGTTTTTAAACTAAAATGTTATTAATTGTTATTACCAAAGTAAATGTTTTATTTATTTTAATTAATAATATATATGTTCAGAAATAATTTATTTCGGTATTAATTCTTTATAAAATGTTGGTAACATGTTTTTTTTCTGTTTTAGGGTTCAGTGGAAGAGGAGGTGGTGGTAACAACCGAGGTACTGGACCACAACAGAGAGGTGGTCCAAATAAGTTTAGAGGAAAATAAATTGCGGCTCTCATAAGTTCTATTCATACAAGATTTGTAATATGTATATTTAAATTCAGAAATGTAAAATTGCTATAACAGATGTAATGAAAATTCTCATATTTCTTAAATTAATTAAGATAACTTCACCTAACTAATAATGTTTTATTATGAAAAAAAAATATAACTATTTAAATTATCATTATTATATTAGCATTAATATTAACTATATATAATATTTTCAAAGTAAAATGGATAAGGCAAACAAATTTTAGATAATCATTTAATTAATAAAAATATTTAAATTTGTTTTTAAATGTAATATAAATACTGAAGACTGGATTAAAATATTAAAATTGTGTATCAGTGTTGTTTTAATTTTATAACTAAATATTAATTAAAAGTGAAACATTAATAATTTAAGTAATATATGATTCAGTCTTAGCTGTTTAATTTATAATTCATGTGAAACGTATTAAAGTGATTTAAATTTTGTCATTGTATACTCTCTCCATTTTCATATTTAGTAGTTACCCATTAATTTAATACCAAAGTGGCAAAGTTTAATATGTTGATGTTCAATGTATTTCTATCCTTTTCTTTAGGTGCTATTTTCATTAGTAAAGCTACAGCTGATTGTATGAAGTTGGGATTTTCAAGTTCTTAGCTGAGTCAGTTTTTAATTTTCTTAGAAGTCACTCTAGTAGTAGAAGAAACTCAAGCAAGTAAAATCTAAATTTTCATACTAGGTTAGCAATCAATTGTTTTTGATTATAGTAATATATTGGAACATATTGGTTTCAAATTAAATACCACAATAATATCCTACGACTATACACTATGGCAGCAACATGGATTCTTTAATCAGAGGTGTTCTCCCAAAAACTATTTTCTACAAAAAAAAAATATATATATATATCTAACTTAAAATAAATATACCTAAGTAGGATGCTTTTTTTTCAAAGAATCCTTGAAAATAATATTGTAAATATTTTGTAACTATGAATAGTTTATTGTTTAGAAATTCGCTTACTCAAACTAGTGTGAAAAAAAGCACAAAAATATATGCATTATAGCATTGACAAGGTATATTATACCAGAGCGCGATAATTTTTGGATAATTTTACACCGCTTTGAACTAAGTAATTTCTATTATATTTTTTTAATGTTTTATACTTATATAGTACTTAGGTGACATCCCAGTCTTATATACAAGACCATGGATGATATTATACAGATATTCTATTATTGTTAGTAATAAATACCTGAATTAAGTGATTTTACTATTTTACAACCATTTTAAATATGAATATTTTATAAAAAAATCCAATGGTGTATAGTTTAGGATAAAGACAACTTTATACCAGTTAAATTTCCATTTAAATATTTAACTATAGGTATTACTTGCTTTTCTAAGTAGTTGATCAATGTGTGTGAGCAGATTGTGCAAACAAACATATGCTTACTTAATTTTGTACAGGGGTTTTTAGTTTAGTTAGGTAATTTTATTACGTATTTTAAAAACATAAATTTTACAGCCTTCCATCTTGGCAAAATGTTAGATAAAATCTATTCAGTCTATTTTTTACACAGACTATACATTATTTTATTGAATGTTATTCAATATTAAAACTGTTTAATCGGTAACTAATTCTTTGTCTTTAATAGTTTTCATGTACGTGCTAATTCTATTTATTTCTTCAATTAATGAATGCATCTAAAATTTAACAAAAAATGTATTAGGAGGTGCACAGTTAATAAAATAAGTACATAAAGTCTTGGATAAAATATAAACCTTATCTTCTCGTGTTACTTTCGAATTGTCTGGACTATTTTGTAACTTTTTAAGTGATTTTTCAATTTTTATTACTTGCTTTTGTAAACGTTGACGTCTTGAATTTAAAATACTATAGTATTTCTTGTATTCTAAACTTCCACCCTGATAAACAATTTTTATTTTTATTTTTACTGTTTTTATGGGCAGATAATAATCATTATAAAAATGTTTAAAGTATATTTATAGATAGTTAATTTACGATAAACAAATCATGAGTAAGTACTGATACATTACCTTTAAAAGAAGATGAATTTCAGTATGATCACCAACTATATCAGAAATAGATTGCAACTTTAAATTAGAATTTTCTTCTACAAAACACAAAGTTGATCCTGATAAATGTTGAATAATATCTTCATATTTAGTTAATAATTTATGACATTTTGAATGTAGTATAACTAAACATAACATTTATTAGATAATTTGAGATTAAAAATTGAATATTAATTAGCATTACTTTCAGATTGATTTTTGCTAAAATTATTTATTGATCGAATTCTACGTATTGCTGTAACTATATCTTTTACTGTTTTCATATCAGCATCTAGCTGTTCATTAAGCCATCGCATATACTAGAAAATAAATACCCTTAGTTAAATACAGATATGTTACATAGTATACAATATAATATGATAAATATACTTCAATTGGTTCTGGAAATTTAGTAAATGCTATTGGTGTTTTATTTTTTCCAGGTAAAGCATAATAAAGGGTTTCTGACAAAAAAGGCATAAGTGGATTCATGAGCCTAAGAGATGTATCCAAAACATATAATAACACTTTACAAGTTGTTTGAATCTCTTCGTCTGTACCATTTTCAAATATAGGTTTACATGTTTCCTAAAAAAGTTGTAATTTAATTAATTATATAATTTATAATTTACATAATTTGATAATGAATGCTAAAATAATATGTACCAAAAAAACATCACAGAACTCATTGTAAAAAAATTGTCTTAATTTATTAGTAGCGATGTAAATATCATAATTTTGGAATGAGTTATTCATTTTATTAACACAATCTCCCAAACGACTTAATATCCAAAATTGAGTCATATTACTGGGATTTGGTGATGTATAATCATGAACTTTTTTTTCATTCGCCCACATTAAAACAAATCTTGTAGCTTGCCATATTTTATTACAAAACATGCGATTATGATAACATTCATTCACATCAAAACTAATTACTTGATCTGTAATGGTTTACAAAAAAATGAGTCTAATAATATTTTGAGCCTCAAACCAATTTTAACTTACTTTTGATATTTTGTGAAACAAGAGTTAGTCTTAGGGAATCTGTACCACACTCTTTAATACCATCTGGAAATAGTTTTTTTTGTCTTACCAAGGTCTTTTCTAATTCATCATATGATATTGTACCAGATTTAGCATTAGCTTTAACTTTGTTTTGTAAATCCTAWTTTATACAGTAAAATTAGTTATGAATAGAACAATAAATTTGGAAATTACCTCTAATGAAATTCCATTTATGATATCTTCAGGATCTACAACATTTCCTAAACTTTTGGACATTTTTCTACCATGACTATCACATATCATACCATGTAAAATCACATTCTAAACATACACAATTCTATACAAATTTTTAAATGTTAATTTCATTTAATAAATATTACTTTAAAAGGAAGTGATCCTGTTAAAAATATTCCTAGCATCACCATTCTGGCAATCCAAAATGTTAGAATATCATGTCCAGTTTCCATAACACTCAAAGGGTAGTATTTCATTAAATCTTGCGTCTAAGATAATTTAGTGTTAAACATTTTTTTTAAACGATTAATAGCATTGATTAAATATATTTAATCAATGTTAATAGTATGTTCAATATTAACCTTATCAGGCCAACCAAATGAAGAGAACGGTAGCAATGCCGAGGAAAACCAAGTATCTAATACATCTTCTTCTTGACGAATATCCAAATTGGCCATTTCTTTTTCCGATAATTTAATTTTAGCTCCAATTTTCTTAATAGCTTCATCTGTATTATGTGCAGAAATCCAACCATATTTAGTTTCAAATAATGGCAATCTATGACCCCACCACAGTTGCCTAGATACACACCAATCTCTAAAAATATATTTATAATTTTACTAAATACATAATACTCATATTTTATTTAAATTATATACTTAGAATTATCAAGCCATAAAAACCATTGATTCTGATAATGAGCCGGTTCAATAGTCAATTTACCATTTCTTAATGATTCAGATGCTTTTTGAGCCATTTCTTTACAATTAATAAACCTTAAAAAACAGTTTTATATGCTAATAGAAATTAGAAATAATAAATAAATAAAAAATATATTAAACTATGAAGGTTATAATACCATTGAAGTTTTGGTAGATGTTCAATTACATCACCAGTGCGACTACATATAGGTATTGACATTTTGTGTTCTTTTGAGTCTCTTAATAAATTTAATTGTTTTAATTTTTGAACTATAGCAGTTCTAGCTTCATATCTTGGTAGACCCTAAAATTAAATATTCAAAACCATACAATTATAATATGTTTATACTAAATTTATAAATTTATTACTGATCATCATAAAAATTACATTAAATTCATCATATTCACAGTTAATATTTCCAGATTCGTCAATAACATTGATAATAGGAAGATCATGTTTGTCAGCTAATTCAAAATCAAAAATATCATGGGCAGGAGTCAACTTAACTGCCCCTTAAACAAAAAAATTAAATATTTATAAAGTCCAAATATTAAGTATTAATATTAAATTAATATTTTATTTTATAAATATTATAGTATTAAATATTAAGAATCATTATAGACAAAAATACCTGTTCCAAAATTTTTGTCAACAGAATGATCATAAATTATAGGTATAGTGCATTTTCTAAAAGGATGCCATAATTTAACATCATTAAGTCCTTTATATCTAACATCGTTAGGGTTTACAGCAACTGCTACGTCTCCAAGCAAAGTCTCTGGTCTAGTCGTTGATACAACAATTTCTTGATCTAACAATGTCAGTAAATTATGTATTTTTAGGCATATAATTTAATATATTTGTTAAGTAGTTACAAACCAGAATTGTGAAATTTGTAAGCTATGTCAGTGAGGATACCAAACTCTACGGGTCTATTATTTCCTGGTAAGCTAATATAAGTCCTTCCCGAAATTTCTTTATAATTTATTTCTATATCAGAAACTGTAGATTGTAAAGAACAACACCAATTGACTAATGAATATTTTCGGTATAGAAGTTTACTGTCAAATAACCGTATAATAGCTTCATTGACAGCTCTGTTTTGTTTCTGAAAATTTATTTTAAGGTTTATATAGTTTCAAAAGATACACAAATAAAATCGCTACAAATAGTATTTACTTCATCCATTGTGAATGTCTCTCTGTTCCAATCTAATGTTACACCAAGATTTTTTAATTGATTTCTAATAATTGAAATTTTGCTCTCTTTCCATTTTATCACTTCTTGGTTAAAAGCTTTCCTACCAATATCATGTCTATTAACATTTTTTTCAGCAAATAACTTTTTTTCTACAACTACTTGGGTGGCAATACCAGCATGGTCAGTACCTGGTACCCATACTACATCAACGCCGTTCATCCTGTGCCTAATTAAAAAAAAAAAAAATAATTGATAAAATATTATTCAAAATTAAATTTATATCACAAACCATCGAACAATAATATCCTGTATAGTGGCTGTAAGGGCATGGCCCAAATGCAAAGATCCAGTGATGTTTGGTGGTGGCAATATGATAGAAAAAGTCTTTCGATTTTCAGAATTATGATTTAAACTGTTTAAATTGGGAAATACAGTATTTTTGGACTTTTCAACTATTTTAGGTTCATATTTTTTTGGTAATATTTGATTTTCTCCTGGAAATGTAAAAAATATAAATGAAGTTTTTACTATAATAATATATACTTTAAAAAAAAAAAAAACCAAAAACAGTATAAAGTAATATTAGTTTACCATGTTTAAAGTCTACAGAATAACAGTAACATCCAATTGTTTTGTATTTTTTAAGGTGTTTGTTATGAAATAATGTAATTTTCAAATTACTTTTTATAATAAACATCATATTGGATAAATTGTAATATTGTATGATTATAAAAGTATATAATTGATTTTGACTTAGACAGTTGAATTAATTATTGAGTATTAAGTATTAATTGTTTGATATATATATATATATATAACATTTTTGACCACTTTAGTACTTTACCTTCTTAAAATATTAAATACAAAATATGTTTTACTAAAAACGTGCGAAATTATGATTTAAATCTTATCACTTTTCAATTTTTGATAATTATTTATTTTGTTTTGTTATCTATAAAATTGGTAATCTATTTGTTTTCATAAAATACCGAAAAAATTAGTGATCTTTTCTTTTCGATATTAATATACCATCATTCAATTTTTAAATTTTAATCTAAAAAAATATTGTATTAGATTGTTATAACGGTTTACAAATAATAGTTTGAATTCTTTGATTTTGTTTTCAAAAATGTCATCAAAGTATGTAAATATGAATGTAATTAAAATTATTATTTTCCTATAAGGAATTAATAATTTCTTTCCTATTTTAACTGTACACAAAATACTAATTTGGCTTTTTAGGGTTAAAATTGGTCAAGGAGCTATGGTTTGTAAAGAAATAAAAGTTAAGGGTCAAGTAAGTTTTGGAGCATCTACAATAATTCATCCTGGTGTAACCATAATAGCTGAAGCTGGACCCATTGAAATAGGGGAAAATAATATTATTGAAGAATATGTCAATATTATTCACAAGTGAGTTTATTTAATCAAAATTAATCAAATTTCAATAAAACTGATATTAGTTCCTCTATAATAACATTAACAACATTTTATCAAAAAAGTTAAATTAACGATAAAAGCACCCACCTAAAAGTATTTCTCTAATACTAAAATTTTAACATATTTGTTTGTAGAAACGAATCTTCCTCTTATGAATTTAGTTTTGATGTCAAAAATTATTAATGCTATATTGCCTGACGGTTGGTCTCATTTAGGTTAAAATTATAAAATATTGTTATAAATATACTCATTTTTACCATCAGTTTTATTTTTATCTTATAATATTTTATTAAGGTATTTTAAACGAATGTATGATTTATAATGATTCACACTTATAATATAATAGTTTCTCATGTGACTGGTATTGATTCAATAAATTGTATTTCTAAATAGATTTTTACCAGGAAATGAACAGTCTGAGCCTGTAACACTCAAAATTGGTTCTAATAATGTATTTGAAGTATATTCAACCATTGATGGAGTCAAATCTATTGGAGACAATAATATTTTTGAATMAAAAAGTATGAAAATAACCTAACCTAGTCCATTTACATTAAAAAGCCACCTCAATGGTATCCTATTTTTATTCGACAGTAGCCATGACATTGTTATACCCATCTGTCATCCCTCCTAAGTTAACCATCTATCCATCTCCATCACTGTTATGTAGTAAATGTATGTCCTTGTTCATAAGTCAGCTACTTAATGCAAATGGAATATATTAGTATATATATTTTTTTTTTTCTATTAAAAACATGATTTAAAAAATGTTAAGGTTTTGTTGGTCAAAATTTATCAATAGGCAATGATTGTATTATTGGAGCAGGTTGTCAATTAACATCTACCTCACCTATTGAAGATGGCACTTGTGTGTATGGTAAAAATTGTACTAGACAAAAAGCTTTTTGTAAACCATCAGTAAGCAAAAAAAAACTTATTTTTAATTCAATATTTTGATTTTTATAAACAATTATTTGCTACAAATTTATTTTTAGGTTCCAGGAGGTCATCGTGAATTTCTGATCAAATTGTTACCAAGTTACCACTTATTAAGAAAAAATAAAAACCCTATTGAAGGAAATTAATATTATATTCGGATCAAAATTTCACATTCATATTACATAAGCATAATATTATATATTTTATTAACCTTGTATATTTATTCAGAAAAATATATTGTTTTCTTAAAATTGTTATTTATAAATGTTGTTATTAGTAAGGCTTGGAAGTTTTTGCACTAAAAAACTTTGAAAATTTATTGTATTAATGCAATCAAATCTAATTTTTTTTTTCTCATTAATGATAGAAATAGTTATGGCTTTATGAGGATTCTCATATTTCATTTTTAAATATTAAATATAAAAAGAAAACTGTTTAAGAATTTCTAACTAAAAATAATTTATAAATTTTTGGAATCTTGTCGAAAATCCCATTTCAGATGCTCATAAATATTATTTTGAATTTACGCACAACATTTTTTATATTCTGAGTGGAGCAATAACATGTATGTTTTATTGAGAAAAAAAATGTTCAGATCTGTCATCTCCTTTTGAGTTTTATTGAGTAGAGATCTCATTCATCCTGTACTTCACGAGATCGTCTTGTATTTGAATGAAGCGTTCTGATGTCCTGACAAAAAGTACAAATTAACAATTTTGTTCCATATTTTTGGGTTATTTATTTGTAGGTAGGTAATATGTATCTTATTTTAAAATTGTTTAATAAATCAAATTTGTTCCTATTATTTAGAATTTTTAAATTTTAATGATGATTGAAATTATGTTTATTTTAATGCAAGAAAAACAAAATGCATAATAAGTTTAGTAGTCAAATGTTAATTAAGAATTGTTTGTAAATGAAATATGAAATATTTAATTTTATAGTATATATTAATTGTTGGCATAAGTCCTAATATCCAATACTTCAATATTTTTCACTTAAAAAAAACTTACTAAGTACAGTGCTATACTGCTTAAAAAGTAACAATAAGCTTTTATATGGTAGGATTATAAATTTTGAATTTTAAGGAACTATGCTCTTATGTCCTACTCTTATTTAATAAACATGTAATACATGTACAAGTTATAAAATTTTTTATTTAAAAAAAAAACTGGAATTTATACATACTTTGATTGTCTATTTCAGAAACTTTTTTAAGGAAAGTAATCGTTTCATGGCTAAACAATGATTTTTGTTGTAATAAACAAATAATTGAATATTGCAGGAAAAATAACTTATCAAAATTAATTTAATTTTTTAATTTTATAAATTTAATAAAAATCTCATGAGGTTATCTAAATAATACTCTTACCTTTAAATTTTATGAGAGATCAATTCACTCTAGTTTTTAAACTAACGGATCTAAACATGATCTGTCGAGAGTAAAATTTTCCATGAAACACACTTGTATGATGGTGACAACACGCGAGTATCACTTCCTTTTAATATAAAGTTTATAGTTTAAAATGATATAAGAATATCAGTTTAAAATGTTTTAATGAAGTCTATTTAGATATAAGATTAGAACCATTAGACCATAGTTTGTTCTAATTTGTACTATAATATATATTAATATTATATATTATATTTTATGAGTAAAATTAGTTATGGACTTATGGTTAAAAATGAATATATAAATTAAATTGGTTATATGGGCATATGGATTTATGGTTAGTCTTTAAATGAAGTGTTATTTTTATAAATAAAATATTTATTACCTTTAAGAAAAATTAATTTTTCAAACGTTTTGGCTAAGATTAAGTCTACTCATCAGGAACAGATAAACAAAACACAGACTTGTATTATATTTAATAAATGGTTTTTTTTATAGATGGATAATTATTTAAATAATGTAATGATTTGTTATTTTCCTTAAAATAAGTAATTAATTCTAGTTAATTATTTGATTGCTGTTAATATTCAACCCGAGAAGAAAATATAAAAAATGTCTTCAGAATCTTTACTGGATTCATGGTTACTACATTCATTAACAATTTTTCTGAAGCATTTATACACAAATTCTGCATGATTATTTTATTTTGATGATCACTCATCATGTAATCTGAAATCCACCTTAGTTTAACATTTGGATGGAAACACGTTGCTAGAATACCTAGCTTCATTAATTTTATAGGAAGTAGTTCAAAAAATAAATTTTTTTTTTTTATTAAGATAAGATGTTCCTAGCCTTGGGTATCTACATCTATTGATATTTACAATGGTACACTTAAAATAAATTAAACTTTTTAGTAAAAGAAAACTAATTATTAAAGATGTAGGTAATTAAAAAAGCACAATATTTTAAATTTGTCTAATAGGTGTTGTAAAAAAAACAATGATGGATTAAAATTCCGTTGAAACAATTATTTTGAGCTTACAAACAATCAAGGCCCTTGGGCGCAAGCTATTGGTTTTAGTAAAATTAAATCATCTAAATAGACTAACTATCTACGTCTTTAAAGCTAGAATTTTTCGTAAAAAGACAATCCATGACGAAATTATCTTATATCGAAAATCGAAATGTCTTGCTACTATTCAGCAGACATTTTCACAATAATATAGTATCCTGTATCTTTAGGCAAAAAAAAGACAACAAAGGCCATTGATTATAAAAGGTTAGGACATATATAGGGCGGTACTGGTTTGCGCACAAATACCAAAAAGACAAATTGTTTGTGCACAAAACTACCACTTGTTTGGGAACAGCTGAACCGTAACCAAGCACATGGTTTGGGCGCAGTTATCTTTTAGCCTAACCTTTTAGACCTTAATAGTTTAATACCTAGCATATTAATATTTGTTTATTTATAAGTAAATTATTAAACTACTTACATACATTTTCCTTCTCACTTAACAGACTTAGGACTGTCTATGAATATATTCATAGGTATGGTTAAAAATGCATGTTAATACTTGCTTTTTAATAATAATTATTAATAAAT